AAAAGTGGTGGTTTTTCGTCGCCCATGTTTTTTTTTATTAATAATAAAACACAATATTAGTATCTTTAAAGTCCTTATGTAGGTTTATAGACATATCTATAAACAATAAAAAAATATATATTTTTTTATAAGGTACCCACTTTCTTTATTTACATTCAATGTATAATGTATACGCATTAGAATACAATGGACAACCCGGGCAATAATATGCATTTGGCATGACGAATATAATGAAAAGGGTGTCCAGTAAACACAATATTATAGAAACACATGGTTAAAAATTGTTAAAATATATTTTATAACATTGTTATCTATTTTTTATAAACATAATAGTTTTAAGCAATTTTTTTATGTTTATAATTTGCCAAAATATTGTCAACTATGTTTTAGTTTGCATTTATTAATTGAATTAAATTTCAATTGTAATTTTGTCTAAAGATAACCTAAGTTAAAAACGTGTAATAATACTTTTGACTCGAATGTTTAAAATAATATTGCAAATACTGATTATTAACCACGGCGTAAAATCAGTAAAATTTTTTTATAATGTATATAATTTTAAAGAACTTGCTTAATATGACGGAGGCATAAAAAATAAGTAAAAATTAGGAATTTTGGTTCAAGTACTAATGCTTTTGAACATCCCCCCGATTTAAAAAAAACGAATTTATAGTAGGTCGTTTATATATATGAGTTATTTGGATATTTGTGCTTGAATCACGCTTATCTTTTGACATTACTTAAAAGTAAATTTACAAGTCGAATAAATTATATTTTTTCAGCCAAAATATAAAAAATTTTACTTAACTCTTTTTTGCCCAAACACTACAGAATTAATGGGACATACAACGTTTTAAACTATTATGTAGATTTATTACTAAGTTATTAGTAAAACTAAGCTATGAGTTCTTAAAACACAAAAAAACACACGAGTGTAGCAATATTGCCTAACCTGAGTGCCGTTTACAGAACAAAATATTACATTTTTGTCTCGTAACGAAAATAATTATTGCTGCGACTTTATAAGATTATTTTTAATTTTTGCAAAATAATTAGTCTGTTAGAACGTTTTTTTTTTGTTTTTTTATATAGTATTTCAGTGATATCATTAATATTTTAGTTGTTATAAAACACAATGATGGTTTTTTTACTTGATATCTTATGCGCGATCTACTCGTTCTAAGTACTTGTAGTAAGCCTTCGCATTCGGGCGTTATAATATTGATATCTAAGGATAGCCATGAATTACATTAGCTCCAGACTCATTAAAGGAACGCTTAATAATAATAATAATAGTAAAAACAGAGTATCAATTATTTTTGCCTTTAAAATAAAATTATCATTTATGAATATTTTATTCATTTTTATGGTCAATTAAAATTATACTACATTCATATTTAAGTGCATTGTATAATATATAATATTTTATAGTAATATAATCAAGAAACAATTAAAATTCACGATACATCCGTCAAAATGCATGACAAAGCTAATAAACCCATGTTTCATACAATAGAATGAAGTTTGTAGTTCAGAAGATATGCAATGCACGTATATAATATAATATCCATATACACATATAAGAGTACCGTAACATGATAAAAAAATATACTTTTAGTAAAATACGTTATGTGAAATAGTATAGTTTGCAGGAAAAATACAATATTATCTCTCGATTTGGATCTGCATCAATTTTACATTATTATGATACTACACATGTTATGTGTACTAGTTACTCTATATTTTTTATGTAGATTATAAAAGTTTTTCTTTTCTTTTTCGGTAGCCGCATGACCGTCAACATTAAACAGATTTAACCATATACAACAGGCCAGCAGTAATATATTATTTATATATTTATTTAGCGTATGGTTTTGTTTGTACGTGTCCACTATTTAAAGTTCTTGTAGTGCTAATTTTCTGGTCAAGATATAATTTAAATGATCTATTGTTAAGTAAATTGTGTATTAACAAAGCTGTTTTCTGACAGCATATAGTTCGGAGAAGTTTGGAACGGAGGCCTTATGTCAGATCGACAAATAAAGCATAGATCTATAGCCATTTCTGGAAGCCTGCCTAAATAAATGTGGTTCATGGTAGTATTTAATCTAAGCAGTTTTGGCCTGGTCTGAACCCTGCTTGTTTCATCGGTATAGCATTAAATATGGTTGGGCCGCATCGATTATACATGAGCCTTTCCAAAAGTTCGTAGCACACTAAGCAGTGCTATAGGATGATACTTTTCTGGGCGATCATTGGATTTATCAGTTTTTAGGATGGCAATTATTTTAGATTTCGGCGTAGAATATAGATAACCGTCGTTTAGTGTTGGGACCAAAGTTTTATACATATTTGAATATATAATATTGTATTATTTTTATTGATTTAGTAATCTAGTAAACCAGTAACAGGTTACTGGTGTGCTCCAGAATTTTGTGTACATTTGTATGCAAGGGTTTTTTATTATCAAGTTATTATAGTTTTATATATTTTTTTTTTAACGTCATTTTTATATAATAAAATATAAACTATATACAAGATTATGTATATATAGTGATTTTTGTATATGAAAAAAGAAAGGCAGGTACATGTAGTACCTACAGGTACAAGCAGTATGATCAATACACAATTTTTGACATTTATTGAGGAAAATAATTTTTTGTTATGCCATAAGAACCATATGGTTGAAATAGCTATAAACTCAAAGTAAAAAAATAATACATAAAAATTCCAAACATGGCATACCCGTAGTTTAAATATTTACATTCGTCGGGTTTTATGATTTTGAATGTTAAATTATGTTTTTACTCTTATTCATTTATGCACTTAAAGTTATCATTCCTTAGAAATTGAGATTTCTAATGTATTAATATCTGATTACATTTATGTACTGTTATGTTCTAGTATTTTTTGAAATTGTCGTAGTTATTAGAGTTATTTTGATTTATTAATAAACACGTTTAATCAATGTACATCAGTCATCTATCACCTATTATTTAGCTAAACATGTTTATTGTACCTTACCAACATCTGTAAAGTAATTTTTAATTTTAATTTGTATTAAACATAGTAATTTACGTTGAAGCCTTATAATGCTTAGTCTGGAACGCCAGGAAAAACTAACAGTTTGAAAATATTCTACTTATCTTAAATAAATACAAGAATCTATGAAATCTGCAACCCAATGATAATATAAAACTTACTATAATGCACATGTTGAGGTATTCTGTTTTATGATTTGTCGAAATTGCATTTATTAGCGATGAATTTTTTGGTTATTTTTATAAGTAATTACATTATGCAAAAAAAATATGAAATGTTTATTTTGTTGTTACTTGTTAACAATTATTTGATACCTGTATACTTTGAATAGAAAGGTTTAAACAGGGTTGGGGTACCTAAAACACATTTTTATTCCAGTATAAAATGAAATGTATGGATTTTATGTATTTTATTTCGGATTTAGTCTTGCATTCCACGTACATGGAATTTTGGAGTAATGTCGATGAGATTGAATTATTTTGTATCACGTTTATAAAATATTATAACTTAACTATAACGTATCCCTAACCTCTGATCGTTTAACGTTAAATAATTATATATTGAAATTTTATAAAGTTTATTTTAAGTAGTATACTTTATTTATTTACTGTTAATATACTTTATTATTCTGATATGATATTATTATAAATATTAAACAGTTTTATAAAAATTTAGTCCTTAAACAACTATTATAGGCAAAATATTTTAAATTAATAATAAATACACATATATATTAAAGTAATTAAATAATATATCATATTAATATTTCTAAATTATTAAGCAAAACGAACTGCTTTGTACTTTTTGTCAGAGTTTAGACAGATTTTTTTCTTTTAGAAATATATGTCCAACATATAAATTTTAAATTTGGCACTTTTTTTTAACTATCAAACTACATGTCATTCGATGTATTTATAATTTGTTAGTGTAAGCCTGTGATAGATTGCATGTATACAAATTTGAGCTCGGAGGATTCACATTTCCGAAGAAAACCGACATAGTTTATGTTTGTTCCAGTTTAGATTTTATCCTTACTTTGTTAGCGAAATGGGTTGCAATGCATATTTAGATTAACTTGTAAGCTATTTGTTTAAACATTCCGAATTCTTTTAAAACTATAATTACACAATATAAATAATTAAAATAAATTAGTATATAACAAAAATTTCCCATAATAAAACTAATATTTGATTAACAAAAATAGCTTTAGTACCTACAAAATAAATAAAGCATCGGTTTAGTACAATCATTTATTACAATATTTTAATATCATATTAATTAATTATTTTAGTTATTAATTTGAAAAATTAATAGTATTCGAATACGAATTTGCTTATAATTTCAATTTAATATTATGATGACCTAAATATTAAATTTATATGTTAAATCAAGAACATATTATTATGGTGATTCAGTTTTGCAAATGTGTTATAATAATACTTATGAAAACTAGACAGCCTAATAACTCAATTTTAAGGTTAACTTGAGTAAATACTTGTGTACAGTCACGCAACACAATAATTATTCTACCTAACCATTTATTATTTATTAATGGATATAGACAACTGGTCAATGACTAGTTATTATTATTATTAATTTAAAGAGTCGCCGAGGTCGTTTGCTTCGAAAAATGAAACGAGTAGGCTTTTTACTTCTATAATTTCAAACGTTTATTAACCTTTAACATAATTAAAATTGATAAGACTTTAAGTATGATTTAAACATAAATAGTCATCCCTAAAATATTTTTTTTAAAAATAATAAAGATTAAAACGTAAAATTGGTAGAAAAAAAAAGGATTATTTTTTATGATACTCTTATGTCTTAAATCAATCAGTAGATAAATGTTAACAATCGATTAAGTAATTAATAGATAACTGACTTTGAAAAATATTTCATTTTTACAGACTTGTATGTTGGTTCACTATTATAATGAAAATATTGTTTTTTTTTTTCAGATAAGTCATGGTTGTTCATCGGCTGACATCATTAATTTGGCTGTTAGCTGTCATATGGAGTTGTTTTTGTATAACATTGACTAAATCTGTAACTCGGGAAACGCGTATGTATACATATTATTATTTTTTAGTAATAACAAATCATGTTATTCATGAGCTTTGAAGTAAACGTTATATGATGACAACATAATACTGGGTGCGCCAAAAAATATGTAGTGAAGAAACTGTCTTGTCATTCAATATTCAACTTTCAATTTGTTACTTTTGGCCCACTCTGTATATATATTGCTTTTTAACGTTCGGATTTTTTAATGATAACATAACATTGTTACATATTATAATTATTCTAACATATGTGCAAACGGGTCATGTTGATGTAGAACCATGAAATTCAGTTATTTATTTTAGTAATATTATTAATTATCATCAACAGTTGTGTCGCGGGAAAGGGAATAACAACTATGTCAGTTGCCATACCCGTATAAAAATTTAAGACCACTTACCCTACCTCCGTTTTACAGGCTGGAATCCACCTTTAATTGATTATGTAATGTTTGGTCCGATATAGCGTCGGTCAAAATCATCTCTTTCTGTTGATTGTCTTAGATACGGTGGTATACATTTGTGATTAAGTGAGAATACTTTTATCTTCAGAAGTCTTAGTAACACATTGAATCTATCTAATATTTCACATTAAAAGATTCAATACTATCAGTACAATGAGAATATTTTAGGTCATGATTGTAAAAAATAATATTCATACATAGTTTGCGGAAAATGTTATTTGTTATGTACTAAAATTATTTTTTCTATCAAAAATAAAATACAATGTTGTAAAAATAGAAAACTAAAAGTAACAACATTTATCCGTTTAATGTAAGTTGTATGTACACAGACTTAAATAACAAGGTTGTCATTTTTAAAACAGGTAATTACTAATTAACAATGTATATATTTTATAAAATCCCGTATAATTAGTATGGGTTTAATAAAATTATTAAAATTAATAATATTCCTTTGGTTCAATGTAAAAAGTTTTGTGTTATTTACAAAAAGATACTCAAAAGCGGTATTCTAGTACCGGTATGATTAGTAGGGTATAGGAGGATCAGTTTTTTACGATTAATTAATTATCTACCATGTTTGTTTTAAGGGAAATGGAAAGCGTCAATTTTTTTACAAATGTCGAGTACTTTTAGTATTAAATTTATCGATTAAACTTGTTCAGTTTATGTCCGAAGTATTTTATGTAAATATTACAGACTAGTTTTTATAATAGTAAAAGTAAAATATACGCAGGGCTTTTTACGTAAGTATTGGGGAAAACATAAATAATCCAGTCATATTAAAATGCTTTATATATTTATAATAATAAATCATAACAAAAGAAAATAATTTGAATATTAAAAGCTCATTTGCAAAATGGTGTTTTTAATATTTAAAAAAAAAGTAAATAATACGCAGTAGGATCAACAAGAATATATATAACTGATAAAAGTTGAAATACAGTACAAATTTTGTGGTAATCTGTAAAAATGGGTTCCTCTTTTTTTTATTTTTGTCAGTGACGACTGGCGTTCATAAGAAAGTGTTGGGATGTCATTTGATACCCACGGGTAAATGGTTTATAACTTTTAGAAATAGAGTTGGCCTTCCTTCTTGGAAAAAATGACTCCCCTCATGTGCATCGTTGATTTTTAGTAAATAATATATAAATACAATTTATTTTGTTTAGGTATATGATAAATATATTTTTCATTGTTTTTACTGCTTATACGTTGAATTTAATATTAGTAATATAAATCATTTTGAGTTTTTAACAATGTTTTTGCAAAATATATATTTTTTCACGGGTTTTTGCCTTTACCTATTCTCGAGTCTCGACCACTGAGTTTTACCTTACAAATCTCTCTAAACGTATAAGCGTGTAAGAGGGTTTATGCCGTGGAGAAACGGCTCAATGTTGTGGTAACGAACGGAATTATCGTTATGAAACGCCCGTTCGTTTTTTAGTAGGTAACAAAAAAAACATTTCCTTAAGAAATACTGAGGTTTACTTTATTGCTCGTAAAACGTATCTACTGTCTACCGCGCGCCAGGCTATATTATTATTTATTGCACAAGTATTGGGTTAGAACAGCTTGGTATCGTTGCTGAAGTGTGCGTTTTTTCTTCGTTATGTCGGTTACCAAAAAGGTGCGGTAAGACGATTAATTCTGATTTTCATCTGAAGTTAAAAACAATAACACAATGTATAAATATTGTTAATCGTCATAACTCATAATAAATGCGAATGACTAGGTGGCGTTACATTTAACCTTGTTAACCCTACCAGTTCCAGAGTAGTACACAGTGGTAGACTTATGTTGGATTCATTATTATCAATTTTTCGTTAATATATTATATGAATGATAATGACGCATTTAATATGGAAAACTTCGATCATTTACAATGGATATAGCTACTGCCTGTCTTATCGGTTAAACGCGTTGTGTCCAATAGCTAGCACAGATGAATGACTGAGTAAAATTAAACGTCTTACGCGATATTTCCCGGAGCCCTGCTGGCGGAGCGTATTTAGTTATGAAAAATCTACACATCATATCATAGTATTTCACGAATTCTCAAGGTACAATGCGGTGTACCTACCTGTAATTTGGAATAAAAAAAAATGCAAAAATGATAAAACTTATAAAATACTTTCAATAGGCCATATTGAAGAAAATTAAAAAAAACAGCTAAATGAGTTATTTGGGTTTGACTGGGTTAACACGATACCCACCGGTAGGTCCAGGTAATCAATATCTCATACACTTAGACAATTTATTATACACACACACATATTATAAGCGTGTGCACAATATATTACATACAAACTCTCTCGCACGCATGCAAACGTTTTATGCATTTTAGGTCTTTCGCTATGTAATTCCAATTAGACACTGTCTGCTCGAAATCGTTTATTTACAGGCGAATGCGTTGTTATTTTATATATGTTTTTTATTTGGTTAACATTTTCATCACATAGTGGCGTTTTAATAAACTGACTCAGTTTCAAAAAATGTATTTAGTTAAAAATAATTCTAAATACTTGAAAAGTCACGAACAGTTAATTTGTTTATAGAATTGTTAGGACAACTACAGGATTGTAGACTTTCTTCATATTTTTTCTACTTAAGCTAATACCGGTCATTCTGATCCTATGCGCTCTACTATTGACCAAGCGTATGGCTTCGTATATAATTCGTATATATTATTTGGGAATTTTTGCCAGCGTGAAGAATGCGCATACATCGATATGAAATTGTAAAATTAAATATATATATATATATATATATATATATATATTATACATATATAACAGACGTTTAGTATTATCATAACACACAGGAACAAGGTCAATGAGTGCCGACCATTAATGTTATTAAAAACGAACCTCTATAGTAATAATCATTGACTTAACAGCGTTGTTTAAATATTTTGCACGCAACTCCACTTTTAAATAGGAATGTGTGTTTAGTACGCGCTCGAACCCATTCCAAATAATTGCCGTTAGGTCTTGTCGGAGTTTTTTTGTTAAAAGATATGAATACCATACACAGATGAATAAATATTCATATTTCACCGAAAAACGTAATAAAAATAAAACGTTTTGACAAAAAAATATATACACAGATTTTTATTTTTTATGAACAGGTATCTAAGGTATCCAAAAAGTATAACCACACAAAATCCATTTTTGGAAAATTAAACGATATTCTTAATGGCATTTTTTATTGAAATCCTAAATGCATTAAAAAAAATATAGTTTTACTACATAAAATATATTTTATGTTTATACTTTATATCCTATTTTTTGTACTATTAACAGCTAGTCGGTAAGCTCTTACCTAGGGATGAATTTTGTTCGGCTGAAGTGTCAAATTTTAATTAACGGTGCTGTGCGTTTTTCATTTGAAATCGATACTTTTGAAAAACATAAAAAAGTGGACAGTTGCATAATGAAATAAATGGGGTTTTTCAACTTAATTTGAGAAGGTGTTTTTGTTTTATTATTTTTTGTGAGATTAGTGTGTCGACATTTTGTACGTCAAGACTTTCCAAGGTTAAACCAAAAAAATGATGCTTCCGTGTAATGTTCACTACGTCAATAAAATATCATAAAGTTTGTTCGAATGACATCAAGATATTGGCAATCACAACGCCATTACAACGGTGTCTTTTTAAAAATATATTTACAAAACAATCCATATTTATATTTTGTCAACTCAAATATAAAGTAGCTCAGAAAGATACAAACTATAGGCGCATTCACGACACGATGGAAGTTTTTTGAGCAATTGCCTTTTAGGGAGATTCCCTAGAGCTATCTAGACAGCGGTCTAGTTTTTACCGTAAACAAAAGACTGGCCACCTTGCCCGGCCGATATTAGGTGAGATGTTACTTCAAGTCATAATGATATGATATCTTTTAAACAGGTCAGGTCAGGTCACATTTATTTTTCGATTCGTCGCCAATTTAGGCCAATTTAATACTAACGAGTATCCATAGTACAATCGGATACATAGGCACATGTATATGTCTTTATATCCAAGTATAGGACCCTGGAAATTTTTGGTACTTCCTTATCTTTAATCTCTTATATTTTATCCCTAATATAGTATCCCTAATATTTTATCTCTAATACATTACCTCTATTTGTATGTCAAAGCTATTATCTCTATTTTTATCTCTTATCTCTTTTCTCTAATCTATCAACTCTACCATCTCTGTTTTATCGCTGGGAGTCCTTCTAAAAATTTGTCCGAAACGTAACGCATCCAGTCACACTCAACAACCAAATCGTTGTTAGGGAAACGGTTTATTTTACTTGTTTGTGTTGTGTGTAAAACATATCCATGTGCCGATGTGTTCGTGTACAGCGTGGATACTTCTTGGATTCTTAAGAGATAAGAATATGATTTCTACAATATAAATTCGTATGGTGGTATACAACATTTTTATACATACAGTTTTGTTTGTGTCAAAGGTTAAACTTCAAAACAATTAGTCACTTTTTGAACCTTATTTAGAGAACGGAGTGGCTGCTACTACTCTATGGTA